GATTCTCTTTAAATATCTTTCTAAGTCTGTCATGTTAATAATAATTAGACCCTGGTACTGTACTCCTTGTGAAAACAGATCTTTCACCCAAATCTTTTCAGTCTACACAGTGACTAGCACCATAGTGATCCAGAAAACACCATGAAGGCTGCCTCCTGGAGGTGTGCAAGGGAGTTCATCTATTGAATGAAGTTCTGCAGCACATTCAGCATACTGGCTTGAGTGACTAGAAATAAAACTACACCTATCTATAGCATTTTGTAGAGAAAAGAAATTACTGTATTAAAATAGACTGTTATATGAGATATCAAATTTCTGAATGCAAATATACATGTGTGTGTGCCTGTGCTTAGATACATTAGTATAATAATATAATCTTTTTTTTTTTTTTTTTTTTGTCGGTCATGGGGCTTGAACTCTGCGCCTGGGCGCTGTCCCTGTGCTCTTCAGCTCAAGGCAAGCGCTCTACCGCTTGAGCCACAGCACCACTTCTGGTTTTCTAGTGGTTTATTGGAGATAAAGAGTTCTCATGGACTTTTCTGGCTGGGCTGTATCTGAACCGTGATCCTCATATCTCAGCCTCCTGAGTAGCTAGGATTACAGGCGTGAGCCACCGGCGCCCGGCAAATAATAATATAACCTTTGAAAGTGTACATGATCTAAGATTTGATGTCACTTTAGTGAAATTAAACTCAGCCAATATTTTAAAATGTGATATATAGATGCATAATTCATGATATCAATTTTATTTTCCTAGGGAAAATTTGAGATGTTACCACACAACATCAGACTTTTACTTCATAAATGACTAAACTTCACTTACAGTTAAAATTTAAATATGGCAGCAATATATTTGGAAAGTAACTTCATGTACTGAGAGTTCACCTTTTTTTTCTTTTTAATCTGTTCAGTCTTTGTCTTCTTAAAAATATAGATAATGTTGTTCTTACCAACTCTAGCCATCACCATGCTTGGGAGTGTGCATGGTGATTTTTTTGTGTGACAGGAACTGGTTATGAAAAAATGTTGATATATCTGGAGTGCAGAACAATTTTGTTTTACTTTAATGGAGGTTAAGACTACACACAGCTAATGTAAATACAGCAGGAACCCAGACCATTTGAAGCTGAAATCTAGTCCATATAAGGGCTGAATTTATAAAATAAGGTTCCTTATTGGGTAGTACTCAACTTTTGGGATTAACTACATCTTCTCCCTTTTCAGTTTCTCCACATGTCTACCAAATCTTTACTTTTTAGCTTCCGAATTTGTCACTTTTATTAAGCTGCTATGGCTGAATCTAAGAATGCATTTCCAAATGTTGGACCTACCTCTTGGATTCATAATGTTTTTGAGCCTTGTCAGCTAAACTCTCAAGTAGTGAAGATTTTTAATACCCTAAAAAGTGTTCTTATTTTAAGGGTTGGACCAAACATATCCCATTATGGGATATGTCCACTATTAGAGCAAATGGATCATAATAAGATTTGGTATAAGGTGGATATCTAACTTGTTAGATAGTAAGCCAACTGTCTCAACTGATTTGTGGAATTGTGTATGCCATGGATTACAAAAACCCCATGAGCATTTAGTTTAATTCTAAACTTCATGTTTAAGAAGAATCAACACTAAAAATCAAATACTGGAAAAGTCCTGGACCATCTAGGAGATTTGTTGGCAAGATTCCTTGCCAATCAAATCTTCAAAGGTCATTTTGCCATGTAAGATAACATATTCACAAGTTCCTAGAATTGATATAGGTTCATGGTCAAATCTACAGGTAGTGTCCATATGTGCCTGGCCATAACATTTCTCTTTTGTGTTTGTAGAGTGCTTTATTTGGCTATTTGAAGTATGGTATATTTGTCTGCTTTTCTTTACTACAAAAAAATTCTAAAGCAGGCTAACTTTACAAAGACCTGTATTTAGCACATGGTTTTGTAGATTTCAGGGCAAGATGCCTGCTATGATGGGGACCTCAAAGAAGACTGTGGATTGCATTCTAATGGCTGGAGTATATGTGAAAGAATGAGGTCATATCCAGAAACCGGAAGCCAGAGAGAGACTAGTTTTCTACAAACCTTTCTAATGCCCTAACCCACCTTTTAAAGGATCCCTTAAGCTCTCACATCATAATACTGGAGGATCATGAAACTTTGGGATATGTACCCAGTCCCTATCCAAGCTATGTTCCAAAAATGATACCTTTGTTAAAACTGGATTCAATATATTTTAATCTATGAGTTCCTCTCTTACATTTTTTTTAAAGATTTCCTTGCAATTTATTTGTTGAAGATTCCACATCTTTTTTTTTGGACAGTCATGGGGTGTGAACTCTGGACCTGGGCACTGTCCCTCAGCTCTTCAGCTCAAGGCGAGCACTTTACCGCTAGAGCCACAGCGCCACTTCCTGTTTTCTAGTGGTTTATTAGGGATAAGAGGACTTTCCTGCCCAGGCTGGCTTTGAACCGTGATACTCAGATCTCAGTCTCCTGAGTAGCTAGGATTACAGGCGAGAGCCACCGGCCCCGGCTAAGATTCCACATCTTCTATTATGATTCCTCGGTTGCTAATTACACTTCTGTGATATCATTAACATTTTCCTGTCTTCAATATTTTCAGGAGATTCACCAGTCCAAATGTTGAGCAAGGGCAATAAATGGTTTTGTATAATTGTATTAAGATGCAAACACTGCTTTGTTTCTTCTTGTATTCCTCAGACATTGAACACCAATGTTGAGTTCTGTTAGTTCCACTGGTTTATTAATGGCTGACAAACAGTGACCTTCCACGTCATCATTCTGTTTTGATTTATGAACTGATGCTCCTATAGAGGGCTTACCTTATTTCTTTTGTTCCAATGATCCCTCTACAATTAAGAAAGATACTAAATCTCATTGAAGTTATCTAAATCGAATGCTTGTCTGAATGATTCTCAATTCAGAAGTATTCATCTGGTTGCCATGTGGCCCTTCTTTGGACCCAGACACTGAGATCAGCATGAATCATCACACATTAGAGGGTTGAGCTCAGCCTTTCTCTACGATAGACTGTTAACTTACAAAACAGATTTTTGCACTAGGAAAATATTTCAGACAGATCCAAAATGCCATAAAAATACTATTATACAATAAATGTGGTTATAATCCATTAAAATTCTGTAAGAGACCTAACTCTTGTAGACCCAGTATCCTTTCCTTCAATTTTTTTATAACTCTGGTCAACTTAGAGAAGACACAGGAAGCAACAGAAAATAGAGAAGCCAATCTGTTTAGTTCATCAATTTATCTTCTCACAAGCATAAATGTCACCCAGTGCCCTTATAATATAGAAGAAAGCCATGCTTGTTTCATTAACAAAGCAATAGTGTAGAATTTTTTCACCATGACTACAACACTTATGCTTCTGTTCAAGCCACTATCCTTCCCCAGAGTTACAATGAACACATGAGAGGAACTTATATTCCAAACTAATAATTATTTCCATACATTACTGTAATGTAATTCTGAAATAAAAATTTTTTGCGGTGAAACTTTCTCAAGCGATGTCTAATTTAACTATGTCATGAGGGGATTATAAAAAAAAATTGAGCAAAGTCAAAAGCAGAAAGGTTAAGCATTTTCCTGGAACTCAAGTGTATGATGTCTGAATTTTTGCAAGTACTTGGGATTGGGAGGTAGGATAAGAGACCTTAGGGTTGTTTGTTTTTTGTTTGTTTTTGTTTTTTTGGGTCCGGTCATGGGGCCTGAACTCTGGGCCTGGGTGCTATCCCTCAGCTCTTCAGCTCAAGGCTAGTGCTCTACCACTTGAGCCACAACACCACTTCCGGCTTTTTTCTTCTTTCTTATGTGGTGCTGAGGAATCGAACCCAGGGCCTCAGGCATGCAAGGCAAGCACTCTACTACTGAGCTACCTTCCCAGCCCCATCAGGGTTGTTTTTCTTAAAGTAAGCAATTTATATGTTCCAGAATAACAGCACATTTAGGAAGATAGAATAGCTGTCACATTCCATGTAACATGCTACTCCTGCTTAATACCAAGAAAGATCTGAAGTCAATGTGAGTAACCTCCCACTCCATCGTTTCTGATGGTGATGGCTGCTGTCCTGACACTTTGAAGAGACAATGATGCCTCTCACAGTGACTGAGAACCCACAGGACCTTTTAAGTCTCCTTAATGTGTTGTTCTACTCAGGATTCATCCCCAGTAATTACAAATACGTGATTATCCGGGAAGTGTTTAAAAGTATCTCTAGAGGTAGCCCATTTATTGCAGGACTTCTGTTCTGTGAACTGCCAATTAATACGTTATTTAGTATGAGGGGTTTATTGTGTCCTGTTTGATGCGTTAGGCTGTCACACATCAAAGAAGAACAACAGCGATCCCTGTCTTCAGGAAAATTACTGTTGCACGGACTCAATTGGGCCACGAGAAGCAATTAGAAAATTATATAACAGTGCATATTGTATAACATCTTTGCTGGCACCTTTACAGTAGCCACATTTCAGCAAGCAGAAACTAACTGAAATAAAATCATAGGCTGTGATTTCAGGGTTTGTCCCACCCTTTTTGTTTGAGATACGGTTGCAATTAAGGTAGATTTGCTTCTGTGAAGAAGCGGGATTTGATTAGCTCTTAAAAATGAGTAGGCTGAAAATAAATGGGAAATGAGAAGATATTTAACTGAATTAATTTATCTCATTTTCCCTGATTTTATTTATATGAAGACATACAAACCCCATTCTACTGAGCTTTGTCAAATAATCCATAAATTCTTAAAGTACACGTGATTAACAATGCTTCTAATGCCAAAAGACAGCTTATTTTCTTAATCCAAAGCTCACTTTATATAATCATTCTTTTGCAAACGACTAGTTGGTTACATTAACATTTGAGTAATCTCCACAAGAAGTTGCTTTGAGCAGTTAAAATACCCAGATGCTGATCGGCGTGCATTAAGTGATTCGGCTTAATTGGTTTCGTCTAGATAAATTACTTACCTCGGTTCCAATCACGATTTCTTCTCTTGGAGAGAAAAACAAAAACTCATAGAGCTTGTAGTGTTGAAATAAACTGAAATACAAAATAAACATGCAAATCATCATGCATTTATTTCAGGAAAAAAGAAAAGGCATAAAGGCATTTATTAAAGTTCATACTGATCAAGCTATAGACATTATAAATAGGAATACATAATTAACTAACTTCTTTATTCCTCCAATAATTAATTCAGAACTTAGGAGACATTGATAATATATAACCTGGTACCTGGAATAATCACCCATTTGTGATGCTCAGATAGTTCTGAAATAAAGAAGCGAGTAGATAACAACTTAAAATTTTCTGGCCTAAGACCTATAATACATCATCCCTATGGCCTAAAATTTCACATTATTTGCTAGATTTTTCCCCCTCCAAACTGGAATAGTTTCTTCTGGTATGAATGGCATTGAATTCTATAATCTAATTCTGCATCAATTACTTCTTCTTAAGTATCCAAATTGTTTTAGGGTTAAGTTAATTTCAAATAACAAAAATGCAATATGAACTGGAACTCATTTAGAAGATGTCCGATTATCCTGGAGAATATTCAGTCACACACGGAGTGGAATAGATTTAAGATGGCTCCTTTCCTGACTTCCTGAAAATCAGGTGGCCAATGAATACAAACTACTGAGAGCGAAAGGATAGGAATTCCTGAAAATAAATACTTCCAGTAAGTTTAAAAGCTCAGCAATGTATCACTGAAAGTTAAAATTTCACCGAAGGGCTGACTGCTAATATCCTGTTTGTGATAATATTTGAATTTTTCTAATTCTCTTCCTGCTGGTTGGGAAAATTAATAGACTCATAATATAGCAAAACACCCAAGAACAAAAAAAATTGTCTTAGTGGTTTCTCTTTCACTCTGGTGCCTTTTGCTATTTAAGAAAATTGATTTTAATATAACTGAGAAATTAACATTTGCAAAATGTAGCTACAGAGCATGTATAATAATGGCTTCTCCTGAATGCTGTAATGGATCAAAGTTTCAATTCATTTGAAATCAATGAAAAAATCCTCAGGCAGCTGTGTCCCTCTGAGTTATATTAGCAGTTGATCTCACTACTAACACAACCCATTAAAAGTGAAGGGTGTGTGGACTCAGTCATGTTTTTCTTTAACCCTATACACTTGAATTATTAACATTCATGAAAGTAACAGCTTTTTTATCACTTTGATTTGATGGATAGAAAGATACATTAAAATTAATGAAGTTGATACTTCATTGAAGCAAAACTAATTCAGACGTCATGACATTACACTGTCATGATATTACACTGGCAATAACCAATTTTCAGTAGAAAAATTATAGACTAGGGCTAGGTATGGTGGCTCATACCTGTAAACCCAATGATTTAGGAGGCAAATATTGGGAAGAGCAAGGTTTAAGTCCAACCTGGGCAAAAGGAAAGGGATGGTAGGGGAAAAACAAAGGAGGAGGTAACAATGCTTGATAGGAAATGTTCTCATTACTTTGCTCATCTAACTGTAACCCCTCTGTACAGCATTTTTACAATAAAAACATATTAAAAAAAGAAAACCCCTGTCTCAATAAACTAGACTTAGTGGTGCACATCTATAATCCCAGCTAAACGGGGGGAGCACTGACTTGGAGCTAGCCCTAGGCAGAAAGGTAAGACCTAATCCGAAAAATAAGTAAAGCAGAAAATGGCTGGGGGGGAATGGTCCAGTGCAGATCACCTCCCTAGCAAGTGTGAGTCCCTGAGTTCAAATCTCAGCACTGTCAAAAAAGAAAAAAAATATTAAAGACTATTTTTTGAAAATGGCTTGTCATTTTCAAAAACAAGAATATTTCCCTTTTGCCATGCTGAGACACACAAAGAGCTTAATTTGTACATTTTTGAACGCAGTATCATAATCTTTCAACCTTATTTCCCTCATTGCATATAGGAGTTAGGATCTCTTGTACTAGGGTGATATTACACAATAAAAAATAACATCCAGGACTTGGATATGGTGGTTAGAGTAGGCAGGACTGGGTGGGTGTACCATGGGAGGAACCTGAGGGGGCACTTTCCCCAGGGCAGGTCAAACAGCTTCCCTTTTCCTGTTTCACCCTCCACGTTTCCTAAGGAGGTGTTGGGTAGTCTTACATGAAAACAAAGTAACATTTCATCTGTGCAAGTACACTTAAACTCTCTGTAGCCTTCTGGCTGACTCATGCTTCTAGATTATTTTGTCAAGTAAGTAATACTAGTTGTAAACTGAAGGAGATGTAACAGAAACGGATGACAAAATCTGACTTCATGAAGTATATATAATATATATGTATATGTCTATATATGTCTATATGTATATGTATATATGTGTATATATGTATATGTATACATATACATATATATGCAGAGGGGCAGGGTTGATTTCTTCATATTGGGCGCATGCCTGATTGCCAGGCCATAGAATAGTACACAATGAAAGTGCACGGACCAATGTGCATATGTGATGTGTTTATATTACAAAACAACATAATATCTAGTTGTAACATCTGGTCTTTACAATTGAATGCATTGTAGAGTATGTACAAATGTATATATTGCACAAATCATCTATAGCAATACTTATAGTAATACAAGGACGATAGTTGTGATATTAGTTTTTCAAATCACAGAAAAATCCTAGAACATACGATTTAGACTATTAAAAGCAGCCCTTGTAATTTTATTGTTACATTTCATGTGCTATGGTAACATATTCTAGAAAATGCTTTCTTTAAATTCAATAAGGCTTTCAGTGGCTGGCAGAAGATAATATCAGGTTAAAAGGAAGCATATTTTTGATATCCAAGGTCCATTCATTTCCATAAAACTGCTGTATAGCCAGGCACTGGTGGTTCATGCTTTTAATTCCTAGCTACTCAAGGAAGCTGAGATCTGAGATTCCAGGTTTGGAGCCAGAAAGGAAGAGAAATTCAAGTGATTCTTTTTTCCAATTAACCACAAAATGCTAGAATTGGAGACAAGGCTCAAACAGAAGAACACCAGCTTTAAGCATAATTTATTTTAGTGCAAGTCCAGGGCCCCAAGTTCATGAGTTCACACTCTAGCACCAGCACCCCCCCCCCCCCCCGCAAAAAGTTCAAAAACCATAACAGAAAACAACTGCCGCTGTATACTCTTCAAAATAAATGTATTATATAATTTACTGAGCTTACTTTTGTGGACCTATGAGAGACCCTGAAGAGGTATGTAGAAAAGTTCATTTCCTGTCACCTCACTGAGTTTTTCTTTTTGTATTAGCGGTATGCATAATTTCTTTGAAATCACAAAATGAAGACTTAGCAATGTTGAATTGGCTGTGGTTTATGTTTTAGGCTAATCTCTTAAATATTTCTTTTGGGGGGAATTATGCAGGATTATAGCTTGTTGGTGTATGAAGATACCCTAGCTAGGATTTAAATGTCACTAAGACTGACTCTCCTCTTCACTTAACCATGTTTTGAGACAAACTGTGAAGAAATGCGTTGATGAATCTTTGCCTACAGAGAAGAGGATAGCGGACAGAGGAAAGCAAGGCCATCCTTTAGTCAGGATGCGGTCTCTATGGTGCTGATGTGGATTTTGCTGCTGTGGTTTACTACTAGGTCCGCTATAAAAATGTGTTCTGGAATAGCAAGCTTGTGTGTTTAAATAGAGGGACAAGGGAAAGAAGGATGGTAATACAAATGAATAGGGCACAGAACTCTCTTGTCCAGTGAGTCTCAAACTCCAAAGGGCAGAAAAACTTGAAGGTCAAAGGTCCTCACTCAGTTCTCCATTTCCCCCCTCTACCTTCAAAGACCCTGCTTCGCTCTAATTGATATAAAAACTCCTGTGACTTTTAGTGAGTCATTCATTAGGACTATGTTTTTAAATTAAGAAATCACATTATGTCAAATGCCAATATACAACATAATCACACACCATTATTAATTCATGCCTGAAACTAGCATAAAAGCTTTATCATATTTCACACACTAATATTTAGAAAGCTTTCCAGATTGAAAATGGGATCATTGCCAAACAAATCAAGGGAATGTCTAAGAGATTATTTGACAGTGTTTAGTTTAGAATGTTAATTTGTAACATTGGAAAAAACTGAAATATACGGTGAAAGAAGAAAGAAAATACTGTGCAGAAATTTTTAGTTAGGCAAAAGATTTTTACCTACTTTTGAAAACTGTAAAAAATGTCCTGTTGTAGAGAGACGTGACTCTAATGAGGACTTGGTGACAGACTATATAGAAAGACAAATTCCTTAGTTCAATGAAGAATCACTGTAATAAAACTCTCCCTCTCTCCACCATCATTTTCTCAGTAGAAAGAGGGACTTGTAATGGATTTAACGGTCAAAAGTACAAAATATTTTAAGCTAGGCAATAAAACTTGAGAAAATATATAAATCTCTTCAATTTCTGATACAAAGCACTTAAATAAAACGTTTAAGTGGAAATGAATGCTGCCCTTTAAGATGTGAAGTTTGGTCATTGGAAAGACCAAACCTAATTACATCAGCTTAATCAGAAAGAGTAATTTTATTAATGAGGTATCATTAATTATAGATAAAACAGAAAGTATGGGAGTTTATTACAATTTTAGATGAAATTATGTTCATCAAAATAAGACATTTTTACTTTACTTAATTTTTTGGAAGACAGTATTTTATTACTAAATTAAAAGTTATAACTGTTAATGCTTAATGAACATGAGACTGACCATTCATATTAACTAATGAGTATTGATAAAACATTTTCATCATAAAAAAAAAAAAAACATTTTCATCATGACTCTCTTAGCAAATGTGGTCACTGGACATTATATAAAGTTTGAACTATATAACTTGAGGGTAAGAAAGGGGGGGACAATCCTATGTTTTGTCTCAGTAATTCAAATGTACATTGTAGAATAGAATTTTAAGTATATAATCATACATTTTTGAACATCACTTCTGTCAATATAAGAAAATAATTAGTTTTCAATATTCAGAATTTTAAAATAAATAATAGTGGTAAATAGTAAAAATATAGCCATTGACTATAGCTATAGCAGTTTTCATTTCAGTCAGCAAGTTTCCAATTCCTGACTCTGATGAGACAAAGAAGACACAAATATACCTGGTTCTATTTATGTGTATCTTATGCACAGAAACACTGGAAGAGGTAGATCCATGAATAGGTATTAATTGACTAGAAAGGTAGAAACAAATAGAAGATAGCTAAATTTGGTTGTATAAAGTTTAGGGTGTCATTTTAGTGGCTAGTTAAGGAAGCACAAAAAATTTCTAAGAATACATTATCCAAAACAATGGAAGATTTGAATATGACCTTTATATTTGGATTAATGACCACATAAACTTTTTAAAATCTGACTTTGATAAGAAAAAAATATTTTTATCTTATATGCATTTTCTAGAAGACATGAAAGGAAGGCTTCTGAAAAAAGTCCATACCTGGTTTTGAAATAATCAATAATAGCATTGGCTTGTTTCACATCAAAAGTATTCCACTGCTCATTTTCTGAAACAGAAGGGTGTGGTCCAAGTTCAGCCATAACTTCCCCAAGCCACTTTATGTTTTCCTTTAAGGACATACGTAGTGCTAAAATACAAACACAGGAAAATCCTAAGTATTATTTCAATCAATGTTTTGGGAATAAAATAATCCAAGACATACTAAATGTGACAAAATTTATTTTGTTTAGTTAGCATTTTCTGAAGACAGATGGTAAACAAATCTTGTTTTTCTTGATAATAAATTAATAATTATATTCTGTATAAAAGAATTCAGTACCATCAGACACACTCACCCAACAACTGGAAATTATCATAATGCTATTTGACCGTGTGAAGAATATATGTTTCTATTTTAAGAGGCAAAAAGTAACACAAAATTTATCTAGAGCTAACTTTAAAATTGAAAGATTTTTTAATATATACTTTTTATTGTAAAGATACTGTACAGAGGCATTATAGTTACATGAGTAAGGTACATTTCCTATTGAGCATTGTTACCCCCTCCTTTGTTTTTCCCCTACCATCCCTTCCCTCCTTCCCTCCCCAACTCCTCCCACTCTCTCTCCCCACCATCGAAGTTGTAAAAAATTCGTTTTCAACATAGTGCATTGTACATCTCATTGTTACAATGGGTCAACCAGTATTTCAGCATTCTGTTATTTCCCTTCCTCTCCCCAAATTAGAAAAAATGTATGCACAAGATGCAGGGAACCAAAATGAAGTACAGTGAAAATAGGGGTTATACCATGGGCGAAGAACATACAAAAGAGACAAAAAAAATCACATAGTACATTATAAGTACATTTAAAAAAACCAGCAAGAAAGACAAAATTTCTTGTGCCCCTTATATTAAGTGAACTAAGCCAGGCCCAAAGGAACACAGGTCCCATGGTTTCCCTTATTTGCAATAACTAGTATATGTCTAGGAAAAGCAGAACAGGTCAAAAGCTATGCGCATTTGACCATATAAGATGATGCTAAAACTAAAGATTTTTAAAAATGATCCTAGAAAAGAGAATATATAGAAAGTGGTTCTGTCACTAACAACTGGTTGTGGCTTCTCATTAATGTGGGAATTTGGACCATCAGATTTTTCAATAGAAATATGGCTTTCTATGTAAAGCATCAAGGTATCTTTTCCTTTTCACAACTACAGACTTAGAATTCATGATGTTTCTTAGATGTGTGCCTAATGAAATACTGTTTGTCAACTCTATTTGCTGAGCCTCTAGAATTCTATTCAGGAAATTTCTGCCTATGCCAGCGAATGTTAGTGTTTGTTTCACTTACTCTTCTTGTAGTTTCAAGGTTTCAGGTTTTACATTAATGTCTTTGATTCACTTTGCATTGATATTGGTACAGGGCTAGAAACAGGAGTCCAGTTTCATTTTGTGAGTGTGGAGGTCTGTTTCTCCAGCACCATTTATTGAAGAGGCTATCCTTTTTCCAATGTACATTTGGGGCTCCTTTGGCAAAAGCCAGTTGGCAAAAGCCAGGTTTATTTCTAGGTCTTCTAGTTGTCCTATTGGTCTTAAGGGTTTTTGTTTTCTGTCCCCCCCCCCTTTCCAAGTTGTTTCTGTTATTATGGCTTTATAATATAAATTGGGGTATAGTGTTATAAAACCACCAGCGTTTATTCCCCTTCAGTATTTCTTTGACTATTTGAGCCTTTTTGTGTTTCCATATGAATTTTTTTTTTATTGTGAGAATACCGTACAGAGGAGTTACAATTATATGGGCAAGATAACGAATACATTTCTTATCAAGCATTGTTGCCTCCTCATTGTTCCCCCTTTCCCATCCTCCGTATGAATTTTAAGATTGTCTTTTTTAACTTTGTGAGGGATGATATTGGAGTTTTGATGAGTATCACATTAAATTTGTAGACTGCTTTCAGCAGTATTGACATTTTCATGATATTGATTCTACCTGTCCAAGAACATGGAGGATTTTCCATATTCTCATGTCTTCTTTGATTTTTTTTATTCAAAGGTTTTATAGTTTTAAATACAGAGGTCCTTTAATTATAGAGTTTCTGCACAATGAAAGATATTGTCACTAAGCGAAAAGGACAGTTGACCAGATGAGAGAAGATCTCTGTCAGAAGAACATCTGTCAAGTGTCTAATAACTAGAATATACAAAAGGAGCTTAAAGACTAACTCCAAAGAATCAATAACCCAGTCAATAAATGAGCAAGTAAGTTAAATAGATTTCACAGAAGAAATTCAAATGGTCAGCTACTACATGAAAATATGCACAACATCCATGGCTATACAGGAAACGTAAATCAAAATAATATTGAGAATAGACCTCACTCAAGAGTGGCTGAACAAATTTACACTAGCACCAACAGTGTAGTAGTGTTCCCTTTTGGCCACATCCTCACCAGCTTCTGTTATTAGAGTTCTTGATAATGGCCATTCTAACTGGGGTGAGGTGGAATCTCAATGTTGTTTTGATTTGCATTTTTATGGCCAAAGATGTTGAGCATTTTTTTTTACGTATCTATTGGCCATTCTTCTTTCCACTTCAGAGAAGTCTCTCTTTAAGTTTTTAGGCCACTTGTTCATGGGGTGGTTGTTTCTTTACTGATTTGTTTTGGGGGATTTAATTTTTGAGCTCTAAGTATATTTTAGGTATGAGGCCCTTGTCTGTTGTATGGTTAGTGAAGATCTGAAGAAAGCTAGTGGGCTTTCTATTTATCTTGCCAGCTATGTCCTTTGCCATGCAGTAGCTCTGCAGTTTAATGCAATCCCATTTATGCAACCTTTCTTTGATTTGTTGTGTTTCTGGGGCTTTATTAAGAAAGTTTCAACCTGAGCCAACAAGCCCTAGTGTTTGCCCTATTCCTTTTTGTAATACCTTCATGGTATCTGCTTTTACCTCAAGGTCTTTGGTCTATTTGGAATTGATTCTGAAAGCAGTATGAAGGTTCCTCAAAAGACTAAAAATAGAGCTTCCCTATTCCCCAGCAATCCCCTTCCTGGGCATTTACCCAAATGATCACAAACAAGGCCATACTAAAGCTACCAGCACAATCAGGTTCATTGCAGCATTATTTACCACAGCTAAGATATGCAACTAATCCAGATGGTCCTCAGTAGATTAATGGATCAAGAAGATGTGGTATATATACACAATGGAATTCTACGCTTCCAGCAGAAAGAATGACATCACCTCATTCATAAGAAAAAGGAAAGACCTGGAAAAAATATATTAAGTGAAGTAAGCCAGGTACAAAGAGAAATAGGGTGCATGGGTTCCCTCATTTGTTATAAACAGAATATGTCTTTGATAGTCTTAACAGGGGATCACAATAGCCCAATTGCTAAGTGTATAGAACTGTATATAATGAAGTGTATCAACATGAACTCCAAGAATTGGAAATAAGAGGTTCTTATTATGTCCTATATACAGTTATTTCTATTTTTTCTGTGTTAGTTTTCTGTACCCTTTGTCTTGTATATAAGTTTATCTGATTTATGGAAGGGAAATCACAGAAATAGCAGGACAAATGATGAAGTAACATAGTGTCACTTGATACTATATTGGAAATGAACTATAAAACTTGGGGAAGAAGGGAATGGGGGCGTAAGTGGGAGAATATGAGGGATGGGGTAACAGTGTTTAAAAAGAAATGTACTCATTACCTTACTTATGTAACTGTAACCCCCAGTTCATCACCTTTACAATAAAGATATATAAAAATATATCTAACTTCAGTCAGAATGGCCATCATCAGAATACAAACAATAAGAAATGCTGGTGAGGACTCAGGGAAAGGACTCTAATAGTCTATTTGTGGGTATTAGTGCAATCAGTGTGAGATTTATCAAAAAAAAATAGAACTACACTATGATCCATCAATATTACTCTTTTTTTATTATCCAAAAATTGCCAGACAGGATGCAATAATGTCACCCACACACCTATCTTCTTTATATCACTATTTACAGGAGTCAAGTTATGGAAACAGCCCAGATGTCATGCCCTACAATGGCCAAATGAATACAGAAGATGTCACACACACACACACACACACACACACACACACACACACACACACACACACACACACACATACACCACACACACACACACACACACACACACACACACACACACACACACACACACACACACGGAGTGGAATTTTATTCAGCCATCAAAAAGAAGAAAACTAGGCTGGGAAGGTGGCTCAGTGAGGTAGAGTGATTGCCTGTATGCATGAGGCCCTGGGTTCGATTCCTCAGCACTACATAAGCAGAAAAAGCTGGAAGTGGTGCTGTGGCTCAAGTGGTAGAGTGCTCGTCTTGAGCTGAAGAGCTGAGGGACAGTGCCCAGGCCACAGTTCAGGCCCCACAACTAACAACGAAGGAGGAAGAGGAGGGGGAGGGGGAGAAAGAGGGGGAAGGGGAGGAACAGGGGGAGGGGGGGAGAGGGGAGGAGGAGGGGGGAGAGGGGGGAAGAGGAGGAAACTATATTATTTGTGTAGAAATGGATGGATCTGGGAAAACAAATCCCATTAATTGAATTAAGCCAGGCCCATGTTCTCTCTCAGACCTGGATCACAGACCCAAAATACAGCTTTCAGAAAAACACACAGGGTATCTGCATATATACATGATCAAGTTGACTAAAGTATAGTATATGAATGAGTGAAACTCCATGGTGTAAAGCTCTGAACAATTAGCAGACAGTTTAACAAAATGGGTATCAAGTAACTGAAATGTGTTTTGACTAGGTGGGGTTACTGGAAGGAGGGATGATGCATGGAAAAGGGAACAATGGCTAACTATAATCACAATACTCAAAGTATATATGTAAAGAAGGAAATGGGAAACTTGACATGACTGGTGGGAGGACAGGTAGGCAAGAGGGAGGGGAATGATGGGAGAGGTGACTCAGAACAAGATGTACTGTGCACATAAACAGACACGTGAAAAATGCAACATGTTCAATTGCAAATTGTAAAAACAAAAAGTGTGTGCCTACTCAGGCATGCAAGAGCTGAGTGCATGAGAAGGTAGCTTCACCATCATGATGCAAAACCAACAGCTCTGTAATCTATTCCCTGACAGCTCCACGCAAACACCACCAAACATTCCAAACTACCTTCTATGGCAACAGTCCTGCTAGAAAAGAAATAGATAAAAATATATTGCCAATCATAAAAGTATTAACTTATATTGTCTTTTTATTTTGTTATATTACACTTGTTTTCACTAGTGGCAGGAAAAAAATATTGTTTGTAATCCACACTTACACTCTCTGAAAATGAATTCAAGTAAATGGGGTGTCCAGAGGGTCCTTTTATAACAAAAACCAAGACTAGACTGGTTGTTTAGAGAGGTGACTACCCGCTGGGGAACTGGGTAAGGGCTCTGAGGAACTTTCTGCTCTGTGTCAATCCTATTAGGAAACCATTAGTAAACTTTCGACTTCCTGTAAGGGAACAGGTTGAATGGGAATAGAGAAATAGATAGAAAATAAGCTATGAGACTATACCTTGATTGTTTGACCCAACCACTTCTGTATTCTACTCTTTTTCTCTAGGATGTACATTCCTTGTTCTGAATGCCAAAGACTCATTAAATGATAGTAAGTAAAATGTTCAGAAAGATACAATGAACACAAACTACAATTTGTAGTTTGTTCAGCTGAGATTTCCTTCTACTTATATTTTCCCTGCACAGAATTTGTATGTATGGTATTGGAATGTTGCACAATAACTGTGCTTTTCTACATCACCTCATATGGAATTTAATTGTGCATCTCCCTCAATAAACTTTATTTTTGATAGTTGCAAGTAACTTTAGAGATGAAAAAAAATCTGTTGAGTAAATGAAATTCTTAAATGAATGGAAAATCTATGTTGTTTTATAAACAGACTTGTATTAATTGAAGATAGAGAGAAAAAGGAATTCTTAGACAATTGATTTTAATTCTAGGTGAAATTTTACTTCTCAAATCCAAATTTCATTTATAAGACTCTTTCCTTATGTTGAAAAATAACTGACTCTTGAAAACTGTTTCTCTCTGCCTAATGCCTTTCAATTGCTAATTGCTTTAAAAATTAGGAAAGCTATCACCTCACTTATCCAACTGAAATATCTCCTTTTTTAAAAACTGCACTCACTGACATGATTAAAATATAAAAAGATTACATCACTTAACTACTCAGGTTACCTGAATGAAATCTAGGGCAATGGAAGAAATACTAGTCGTACTTAGTGGCACCTTTATGCTTACGCTGTGCTTAACTGGGGGTGGGGGGTGAGAATCCCAAATGTATTCTTTACTGATGGTGTCAATAATCTTATTAAGTTTAAAGGCTGGAAATGTCTTTTTCCTACCAGAAACAAGAAAAGAAAGAAAGGTATTTTTGTTTTACATGTATATTTTCATTTGCTCAAGTTTCACTTTGGAACTAATACCAATAATATAAAGAATTACCTAAAAGGTATATTCTTGAGTCCATTTTTAAAAGATAGGGAAAGTTGAAAATGGAAATATTTTCTCAGAATTGGAATGTGAGGTTCATAAAATTTGTTTTCCTTTAGTCTCTTTCTAGTTTAAAAATAGAAGAAGTTACACATCTTAGGACTTACATATAATATTTTTAATTTAATTTTTGCATTGGTGATAGTTTTAAGCTTCTAAAATACAAATACAGATATTTCAGGAAATACTCCATGAACTCTCTTGTCCATGTGTCCAGTTCTCACTATCATTCTCCAAAGGAAGTTTTGATTATTAGTTTCTTTCTTTAATCTTCCAGCTTTCCTCTTGTGATATATAAATAAAACAAAAATTCACATTTTTGTCTCTTTTATAAATCACAGAATTCTTCTATTTGCTCACCTTAATAATAACAACACATAATCTTCTACATAATACTTAGAAAACTTCCTCCTTCTTTTACTTATTGAGCTGTATAGTATTCCATTTTAGGATAGCATAAATACCAACTGAAAAACTTCTGATTTCAGAGGAATTTAGATACACAGAAAAGTTGCCAAAAATATCACAGTCTTCACATATTTGGAAGGTGAGTAGCACTGATAAAACTTTTTAATGAAATTAGCATATCTTTGACAAATTGATTTTTAAGAGACCATTAATCTTGCTAAGTATTATTTGAGTATTTACAACTCACTGAAGATATGAGTTATATCCCTGATATAATGAGATAAAAACCATAATTTTCATTGAAGGAATTATAATTAACCCACGATCTTTTGCTTAAGAACATTAATTAGAACTATAGAATATAATTTCCTTCTCTTAAAAAAAAGAAAACTAGTATAATTTTCTTTTCTTGAAAAAAGAGAAAACTAGTGTACTCACTACTGAGATTATGAAGCACCATATTTAGTAAATTCATAAATTTTGAATTTTGAAGAATAGAGAAGTCCATTTCTTTAGCCCACAAGAATCCAGACACATAATAATCTAGTAGAATGGCATCCTTTAAGTGAGTATGAATATTTTTGAAATTCAAAAATGTTCGCAGTTTTCTGTAACAAAAAGAAAAATCTTGATTAATTCCTATATACTAAATCAGAATAATTCCTATCTTTTGAAAAAAAATTTTGAATGAAAACTATGTAATACCCAGAATCTAAAAATATTCATTTATATCAGAAGCCATAAGCTCAAACTGATGAGAAAAAGAGAGTAACATTATAAATTCTATTCTATTCTTCTCTTCTTCCTTCTTCTGTTTTCAGAACAGTGTTTTGTTGCCTCTGAAGTTCAATATTTTTTTCTGTTTATATAGTCCTTTTAATTTTGAATTTTTTCTGAAACTAGATTATTATACATCTAATTGCAGGTTTTTTCTTTAAGCATTCCAGGTATGTATGTTATATTAATTTTAATGTCACTATTTCAAAAATCATTATTAGATATCTTAAAATAATTTACTTCCATTTTGTGTATTTTTGTAATAATCCTTTCTGTCCCTTAGCACAGCTAACTATCCCTCCCTTGGGTTGATATATATTTCACCTCAAATTCCATATGAAAGATATTTCAATTTAATGTTTTATAACTTTTTATTTCTCTGTTATTTCTTCTTGAGCTTTTATATCTGTTTTATGTTCTTATGATTGCTTCATAAGGTTTTAAAATTCAGTATAAAGTATTTTGTAATGGTTTTTGTTAGCTCATGGTTCTTTCTGATGAATTTTCTTGATTTGCTATTTCTCTTTCCCATTCATCCTCTCATGTTTTATATCCTTGCACTGATTTTTTTTTCCTTTAGCTAGTGCTGGGGCTTGAACTTGGAGCCTGGGTGCTGTTCCTGAGCAATGCTAGCCCTCTACAACTTAAACCACAACACCACTTGCAGTTTTTTTCTGAATAGTTTAGTGGAGTCTCCTTCCTGTTTGAACTATAGTTCTCAAATATCAGCCTCCTGAGTAGCTAGGATTACAGGAATGTGCCACCAGTGCTCAGCTTACATTGGGTTTTTTATGCATATTTTTTGCATTTTACGAATCTTTGAAAAAAAATCATGTTTGTTCTTAGGCAGCTACTTTCAAGTAATCCTTTGGAGGTGAAGACCTGCTTATGTTACAAACTAGTAGTCATTTTCTGTTTGCAGGACTTTTCCATTATTATAGCATTTATTATTATTATTTTATTACTGGGGAAAAATGAAGAAAATTATAGGTGGGTTCTGTTTTGCTATTACATAAACTGTCTACTTCCTGAGGTACCAGTCTATATACTTTGGTCTTGCAAATGCTACTAGGGGTACTTAGTCTGGCATTTTAGAGGTTTCTTCCTAGGAGAACAAGTATAATTTTAGCTCATTCAAAGATCTGAAAGTGTATATATCTTTTTTATATTTTCTCCTACACTTCTGCATGGTCTATGAGTGTAGAAATCATCTTCAAATTTCCTGGATTTGGTTTTCAGCGTTCTCCCTGTTTTGACAAATGTACAATTGGTATTTCCTTGTCCCTTCTGAGGGAAAGGAAGGGAGGAAGATGTGTGTAACATATCATGATCTCCCTAAAGTTAGTCCTCATTAGTCATAAAATTAAACCAAGCTACAGGATCAAAGCGCTATGTCCAGCAGAATCAAATATGTTTAGGAACAAATAAAGCTTATATTGGTATGTGGTTAGCCAACTTTCCAATATCCCTATCACTGATAACAGAGTCAATTTCAAAGTCAAAACTGAGGTGTGGTTTTCCTGTGCAATCTCTATAATCTAATCCCTTTACAATAATACCCAATAGTACCATTCAGTATGCAAGTATTATCAGTAAGAATTATTTTTCAGTGATAGGCCCATTTCTGGATTTTAAAATTAATTTACAACTAAATATGTGGCTTACTTCCTTTTGGTGAACAAAAATAAGACCAACTAAATAAGAAGCCATCTTATAACACTTATATATCAGTTAGAGAAATTATATGTCACATATTAGGAAATTCAGAACTAAGCTGATGTCAAAGTTGTTTGAGTTAAGGAGGCTTGGATAGTATCATCATCAGTATCAGTGTGTGTGTGTGTGTGTGTGTGTGTGTGTGTGTGTGTGTGTGTGTGTGTGCATGTGCTCATGGTTGTGTACAGGATTTGTTTTTTAAATTAATACATTTTTTTACTGTTATCTGTAACTATACCTTTTAATATATTTTGTCAAATAGACAACAAAATTGGTAGATTCAGTCCCTTATAGTGACAGTGGTAGGTTTAGTTTACTAGTGGTAGAGTTTACTCTACTCTGTTTACTCTACCAGCCCAGTATCTTTAATTTACATTGGACATTATTTAGCAAAAGTGATTTTTTTCAAAGGTTAACTTTAAGCATCATTTTTTAGTATTTCATGTACTGTATTATTTAGTCTTAAAAGAAAGTAAAAAAGTGGATAACAATTTGCGGCCTTGTTATGGAATAAATAAGTAGGCCATGGAACAGGTAGGAAACTGGCTCAATATTCATGAGAGCTTGATAAACAAGAGAGATGATATTTCACATCAGTAAGGGGAATGTGAAATCAACAGTGCTGTGAGGACTCTTTATCTATATGGGAAAAATTTCTATCTACCCAATACACTGAAATAAAATCCAACTGGACTAAGACTGAACAACTAATATTCAACAGTATGATTAAAAAAATAGAAACATATATTTGTCATATTTGGACACAATTTCTTAAGTACATTCCCCTAAATTCAAATCAAAAAGAAAAAGACCAATAAATTAATCTATTAAACAGACCATAAAAAACAAACTGCGGCATGACCAACAACAACATTACAAAGGAAGAGGCAACAATGCTCGATAGGAAATGTATTCATTACCTTGCTCATGTAACTGTAACCCCTCTGTACAGTATTTTTTACAATAAAAAACATACAAAAGAATAAATTGAGAAAACAAAACTAGAAAGAAGTTTGCCATAAATATAAAGGAGAAAAATATTCAAATTGTAGGAGGGAGGTAGAAATTGAAAACCCTCACATACTCTCTAGTCTTTCCAGTTAGAAAGAGAGCTCTAAATAATGCTAAATATATATTAGGACTACATATTCCCAAATGAGCTTCAATATTCTCCATTGGTTAAGAAGTTAGAGTAAGGAAAAAATGATTAAGATCTTTCCAAAACTCCAGTGATCTTCTGCAATAAATTTTTAAAATTGGGATTGCTAGGTTATATTTGGCATATAAAATGTATTTCTAAAGTTCCCTCCAGAAAGGTGGTGCCAAATAAATGTCCTTTTAATATCACACAAAAGCTCCATTTTTTCACATTCCAGTATAGTTTGGATTTTGTCCATAATTTTAATATTTATTAATTTACTGTAAAAATAACGATCTTATGCAATTTTGGCATATTCATTACAATGGACTTTTTTGTGTGTTTTGTTACTTTTAAAGATAAATTTCTAGCCAGGCACTTACACAATCTGAACTATTCAGAAGGCCAAGATATGGAGGATGACAGTTCAAATCCAACCTGGGAAGAAACATCTGAGAGACAATATCAGTCTAGCATTTTGCTAGAATGAAGGCTAAAATGGTTGAGTACCAGCCCTAAACAAGAAAACTAAGTGAGAGAACAAGTCCTTAAGTTCAAACCTCAGCACTGTCCCACAAATGAATTTAAAATAACTTCTTAGAGCTTCTGTATAATTGGGAATACTATCTCTTTACATTAAATTTAATTAATAAATTAGTTAATTAATTAAATGTGCTGGAACTAGGGCTTAAAATCAAGGCCTCAGCATAGTCCCTTAGCATTTTTGCTTATGGCTGGTGTTCTATCACTTGAACCACAGTTCTACTTCTAGCTTTCTGGTGTGGTTAATTGAAGATAAGAATCTTTCCTGCCCAGGCTGGCTTGAAGCTGTGTTCCCCAGAGTCTCAGCCTCCTGAAGAGCTAGGATTAAAGGCATAAGTTAACTGGTGCCAGGCCAACCCTTTTATGTTTGTGGTACAATTTTTAAAAAGCATTTTGAAATTCAATTTTATTTTGGTGAGAGGAGTAAATTAGATTACTTTTTTCCTCATGTGCACACCCACTTTAACAGAACAGTTCTAGAATAGTTGTTTCAAGTTGTCATTATCATACTAGACTTCATTTTAATTTAAAATGAGTTTCATGGCAAGACTTCTATATCACAGTTTTGTATCGGCAATTTTACCATTATTATTATTTATAATTCACCCATGAATTCATTAGTCTTTCAGCTGGATTAATAGGTAGATTTTTCAGTAAGATAAACCAGACGAAAGCTGTCTTTTCTGAGCTATTACTTATAATATGGCTCCTTGTCACCATAATAAAAAATCCACACTATTATTATTATTATTATTTTGGTCGGTTGTGTGGCTTGAACTCTGGGCTTGGGCACTGTCCCTCAGCTCTTCAGCTCAAGACTAATGCTCTACTGCTTGAGCCACAGCGCCACTTCTGGTTTTCTAGTGGTTTATTGGAGATAAGAGTCTCACAGACTTTCCTGCCTGGGCTGGCCTTGAACCGAGATCCTCAGATCTCAGGCTCCTGAGTAGCTAGGATTACAGGCATGAGCCACCTGCACCCGGTTCACACTGTTATTTTATTCTGGAATTACCAAATGATCTGCTGTGTGTGTGCGTGTGTGTGTGTGTGTGTGTGTGTGTGTGTGTGTGTGTGTGTGTGTGTGTTTGGTTGCTCTGCTGGTATTTTATCATTTGAAACACACCTCAAGTCCTGCTTTTGGCATTATTGTTTGGTTTGTTTTGTTTTTGCTTTGACATAGAGTCTTGCAGACATTTCTTCTTGGGCTGGCTTTCAACATGAGCCGCTGGCAATCAGCATGGAATCATCTTATTTTTGTCTCCCTAAATTTTGACGACTTTTCATTCCTTTTATTTCTGCTGTCTAACATTGCTAAGGAAAAAAAGATGTTCCTTTTTGGGTGAATTTCTTCTAGCTACAAGAAGATATCTGAAGTTTTGTTGGACTAAAACAGCTATTTTAGGAAATTTAATTTTATCTGAATAATTACATCAAATGTATATTCTAACAACTTCTAATTTGGCTTAATTGTATGTCTCTTGTTACTGACTCAATTTTCACCAAGATAAGAATTTCATTAGTTTTATTCTTTACTGTTAGTAGCCTGTTTCTTTCTAAAAGTTTCTTATTTACATATTTTATCATCTTGATATGTTTTGTGGTATCAGAACCTTCTTTAATTACCAGTCTTTGTGTAGCATTTTCTCCTGTTTCTAGCAGTTAGTTTTCCTTTTAAGTTTCTCTTCATCTGCTCTCTGCATGCTACATTTTGCTAATTAAATATCTGACCTGACTATTTGTGTATGTTCTTTGCTCTTTACTTTTGATATTTGTGTTTAATGATGCTTAAATGAATCTTTTTGACCTTCCGCTACTTCTGGTCCCCTTGGCACCCTCTCCACCATTTTCCCTAGTACCATTTGAATTTTCCCCTTTAATCTGAACCACAGAATTTAACAATATCTCCAGCCTTTGCCCAGTCATTTTGCTACAAAGGATATTAGGCAGGGAGTCATTTGGAGCAAGATACTGCTATAACTTGAAAGCAAAGTTTCTTTGCATTTACCAGAAAAATGTGAAAACTTTTTTTTTTCCAGACATAAGAGAAATGGGACAAGGGAGAGGGAGAGAGATGGCCAAAGCTGCAGTATGAGGGATGGCAAGGAGAATGTCTAAGGCTGAACTGGGACAGACAGGGATTGAGACAGGGGATCGGTCTAGCTACCTTTCCCTTCAAGATTTTACATAAAACATTCACATTATTCTTGCATGTGTTTCTGAAGTTGGAGTACACTTGACTTCCTGAGTCTGATGACTTGCAGAAATAAGCCTTTTAAATGCTACAAAGGGAATAGAGGCTCTTAGCCATAGAAAGATTGTTAAAAGATGATTCTGGGTTAGTTTTTGTTTTTAATTTAGTTTATTTTTAATTTATTTCCCATATTTTTTTAAGGATCTGGAAAAATTCTAATAGAAGAAATTATGATTGATAGCAAGCAGCTAAGAGATCATAAGAAGTATACTTAAACATCTAACTTTGTTTAAAGTGTATTCCAAAAATGTGCTAGATGATACTTTAATGATTCATTTGATTGGCTCCTTTCAGGGAGAATAATTCTTAGTTTTAAGAGGTAATGAGCTGATTTCTGATGATTTATTTAGATAAGATTATGCTTTGTATATAGTATAGCTTTGGTGTACTTCTATCACTTGATGACAGAATAATTGGTATTTGTCATTTTGAAAATTACATAATTCCTATCTACAATATTGCTACATTAATTTCGAAGTAACTGATTGATTGAAAATATTTCAGGGTTGCTACTACAAAAATCATAAAAAACACAAAAAATCACAAAGAAGTGGCTCATAATATTCATCATTTTTAGTGATGCAATTTATTCAAGGATATTCTATAATTCCAAATTGCTTTAGGTGATTTTACATCAAGACAGTTGAAAAAGTCAGCCTGCTATTAACCCCAACTATTTTTATATTACTCACTGCTGCATTTGTACAAGGCCTCCCCCATAAAGATTTCCAGAATTTAGATATTTAACAACACAGAGCCAATGACCAAAAAAGAACAAAAACAAAAACAACCCAAGCCCCAAAAAGAACAAAAACAAAAAAATCCCCAAACCAAAAAATACAAGAAGAAGAAAGAAAGAAAAGAATTTTTAAAAAAGTTACCTAAAGTAGGATATGCAGCAGTACACGCATGATTCTTGAAGGTACCTCCTTCATTTAATACTAATTGCGTTTAATATAATATTTTGTATTTAATATCCAATACAAATAATTATTATAAACTGTATCAATATCTGTAATTTGAATTGTATTTGCTTAGTATTAGGTTAAAATTATTTTGCCTTGCAAAATTATTATTACTCTTTCCCATTGCAATGATCAGTGACATTTGAGATAGTCTAGAAATGGAAAAATAAAAAAAAACATAACCAATGATACCAGCACAATTAACTCATTTTTAAATATCAGCTCTTACATTAAGAACCAGAATTCCCAATAAACATTCATTCCTAAATAAATGGTAAATTTGTCACAAGCTATTTGTTTGAGATCTGGGGAAATTTTAATTTGGCAACTAAGGCTTGTAAAGATGCAGACAATAGGCAGGATGGCCAAATTACAGATCTTTAATTCTTAGCAGAGTCTGAGAGCAGTGGAGGTAAAGAGCATCTTGGAAGAAGGGCTGTCAAGGTTATTTACCTGCTCTTGGTAAGTCTTTTCTTAGATTTTTTTTCTTCTACCAAGAAATCTGTCATAGTTCCTTCTCGATAGTAAATCACCTGTATTCCATGAAATTTGTAAGATTTGCCAGTGATAATCACTGACAGAGTCATTTTCTATTAGTCCATTATGGGACAAGACATCTTCCTGTGTCTTGAGCAGTAGCCGAGAGAGTAGACACAGGCACTGTGGTTTAGCACATTGCAACAACCTCCCTTTCCTCAGAGTATGGCCAATCAGTTTCCAATTTTCAAGGGTATAATTTTAACAGTAAGCAATAACTTAAAACCTCTTTTAAAAATTGTCTTGTTTAATATATTTGGCTAATATTTTATATATAAGTGACTTGCTGGAAAAATAATTGGTCTAAAGGGTGAGGGGTATATATGTTAGAATCATTGCCTATACATGTGGTCATATTTACATTTTAAGCAACCAGAATATTTAGAGTTTCATTTCTGAAAAAAATCACAGGTAGCTAGCTAACATTTGGGATTCACCAAATCATAAAATGCATTGACTAGCAATATTGAAGATAGCCCTTGATTGTTGCAAATATTGAATTTCTCATGAAGGAAAGAAAAAAAGGAAAAACAAAGCAGCAGAATATGCTAATGGCTGCTTTTAACAATAAACCTTATTCTTGGTTAATAGTAACAGGTTGATTTGTCATGTATTTCTCTCATAAAGAAAACTGCCAAGCAGTAAAAAAGAAATCAAGTATTTTTTAATTCTGGTATTCCAGAATCTGAATATATTTCAGTACACAATATAATAATACATGTTTTGAAAAAAGTTTTAATAGGTAAAATTATCCACTGTGGTCCTTTATAGATAAAAATCTAGAACTGATCTATGTGTGTCTGAGATAATAAAGTGCTTACTCTTGAATTCCATCTGCTCCAATGTCCTCAGCTAGCAAATTTGTGATCTGCTCAATTGATAGAAAATCTGAAGACAAAAATTCTCCTTCCTCCTCAGATGAAGAATTTTTCTACAAAAAAATAGAATGCGTTATTCAATCATATGTTTTACATATGAAACCTGATCATATAAAAATGCATCTTTCTATGGGTTAGTTGCTGTCAGAAAAATATTTTAAAACAAGTTATTAGATAGTTCTTTTCCCCACTTTTTGGAATTCATTTCAAGACTTAAGGTGATATACAGAGGGATTACAGTTTCCCAAGTCAGGTAATAAGTATATTTTCTTTTGAATAGTCTCACCCCCTCTCTCATTCTCTCCCAGTTTTTCCCCTCCTAACTCCCCACCACCACCACCCTCCAAGTTGAATGGTTCATTTCCAACATAATGCCTAGTGAGTTTCACTCCTGAATTAGTTCACCCTTTGTCCCAGCATTCCCTTTTCTTCCCCAAAGCAGATAAACTATACAGAAAGGGTACAGAAATAAAAAAAAAAAAAAACAGAAACGGAATGGAATATACCAAAGAAAAAAGGAAAACAAGGAAATACCAACAGTACAATAGAAATCTCTTGATTCCATTTCTTGCAGTTCATTTTGATAATCATCATTTTATATGATTATATGCATACAGCTATTGAGCCCTTGTGATCCTCTCCTAAGAATATCCTCTGTTCTCACTATGTGAATATTTAGAGTGCTGTTTAATTAATCAAGTCGAAGTGTAATTATTTGTCTTTTACTATCCATTAGGTTTACTTGTAGATTTATAGGTACATTTTAATTATTAAAAATGAAGGAAACCATGGAGCCTATGTATCTTTGGGACTGGCTTACTTCACTTAGTATAATTTTTTCCAGGTCTTTCCATTTCCTTATAAATGGGGCTATGCCATTCTTTCTGATGGAAGCATAAAATTCCATTGTATATATACCACATTTTCTTAATCCATTCATCCACTGAGGGGCATTTGAGTTGATTCCATATCTTGGCTATGGTAAACAATACTGCAGTGAAAATGGTTGTGCTGGTGGCTTGAGTGTGGCCTGGTTTGTGGTCATTTGAATAAATGCCCAGGAGTGGGATCGTGGGTCATAGGGAAGCTCTATGTGTAGTCTTTTGAGGAATCACCATATTGCTTTTCAGAGTGGTTGAACAAGTTTATGTTCCAACCAAGAGTGTAGTATCATTCCCTTTTGGCCACATCCCCATCAGCATCGGTTACTGTTAGTTTTCTTGATAATGGCCATTCTAACTAGGGTAAAGTAGAATCTTAGTGCTGTTTTGATTTGCATTTATTTTATGGCCAGAGATTTTGAACATCTTTTCTTGTATCTATTGCCCATTCTCATTTCTTCTTCTGAGAAGTCTTTTTTAAGTGTTTAGCCATTTATTGATTGGGTTGTTGTTTCTTTGAGGATTTTTGTTTTGGGAAAGTTTAATTGCTTGAGTTCTAAGTATATTTTATATATAAGGCTCTTTAGACATTTTGTTTTTCCAGTATTATTTATTGGTACATCTCCACTGGAAAAAATCAGATAACCAGTCTGTCCTTTGACCAAATATAAAACTGGGTGATGTCTTACAATTCAACGTATGTTTATTATTCAACATTCCTCTTTGAACTCAGTGGCCCAAGAGGAAGAAAAGACAAATAAGAAAAACATACTGACCTCAAACACTTTAGTGAGAGGAACATAGTAAGGGTGACCAAGTTAAAAAAAAAAACCAGTAAATGACTCATGGTTAATGGAGTGTTCAGTCCAAAAGAGACAAGGGCAGGGCAGGCCAGGTAAAGTTTATAGAGAGGAGGTCCATGGATGATTTTTGTTTTTCAGCAGTGGATGTGGATAATGGCCTAAGTGAATGAATCAATGGACAAAACAGTAAAAGATTGTTTGAAGAAATATCAAACAGTTCGGAGAGGTGCTGAGGACAGGGGTTTGGGATCAGTTGTACTTGGTAGGCAATGAGGACCAAGAACATTCTGGGAGATCTTAAATTTAATGAGCCAAAAAAATATGTATTGGGTGCTTAAAAACTGTAAGATATTGTGCAAGGGACCATAAATATTTTTAAGCCTTGACTAGTTGAAGAATGACAAGCTAGGGATTTTTTTTTCTTAATAAAACAAGTAATAAGGAACCCATGAAGTTTCTGAGCAGTGAAATGACAAGATGAAAATATGCTTTAGGGAAAGGTAATTTGTTGCAGGGTAAAGAAAAGTAGGAGCGGAAAAAAAAAAGAAAAGAAAAGTAGGAGCAATTAGAAAAAAACAGGAATAGTTAAAATGAGGAGAGGGAGAGTTCATTATAATAGCGAGAGATGAAACACTTGATGGCACTGTCCTCCTGGCTGTTTGGATGGGAAGAAAGGAGGTATATATAGCATTTGATATCAGTGAGGGATTAAAAGAGGGATGAATGCAGATTCTGGGTTTTTGATGTAGGTAACTTGAAGAAATATTGGTGTTTCTCACTCATGACACCTAGTCCACCTCTGAGGGTTAGACAGAAGCTGTTCAGGTTGAAGGAAGTAGTAAAAAGGCTTCTCCCATGGCTGAAACAACTAATTTCAGCTCCTACTAACCCTGCAGCCCAGTGCTCCTCTTCAGAGCTCATCCTCCACAATTATACATGGCACCCTTGTTCCATCAGTAGAAATGAAGTTAGGAGAGGATGATGGTTTTACAAAGGCAAAATGTTGAGTTCAATTTCAATGTTAGATTTTAGGTTGGAACATGCATAGTAAGCGTGAAATATTTAGAAGTTAATTAGAAATGCTGAAGTCAAGTCAGTTTGAAAGATCTTGGCTTAGGAGTCAAATGTAAGTGTGGGAAAGGGTGATATTGCCCAAAGCCAGAGCAGGAAGAGAAGAGATGTGAATAGGAGGCAGAAGGGGAGGCTATGAAATAAGCGGGTGACAATAGCAGCTGCACAAAAATCAAGGAGAGCGAGATCTGGAGTGCAAAAGGGGAAAATATTTTAATTCACCAAATAATAATTATTATTGGAGTCCAGTAAATGGGCACCAATAAATGAGAGCAGTAAAAATATGCTTTGCTACCATTTGCCAGATAATACACTAAACTTTTCTAATTTCAATAGAAAAAATATCTCAAAGCTAACATTTATTAGTAATGGTTAGTAGCTTAGAGAGTATAGGAATTGTAATCTTCGCAAGTTAGTATTCAGTTATTGCATTTTTTTATTTAAAAGTCTTAGTGTAAAAATAAAATATGCTATCTTATTATAAAACATCCTTTTTGTGATCTAGGATGGACAAATTAACCTAAACAAGGTCATAGGGTTAGATTAACTCCTTAAGGAAAATATTTTAGTTCTAATTGTAGTACTTTGCAGCAGTTGGGCACTCCGACATAAATTGAATCATATCCCTCAGTTTTTTCTTTTCTTTCTTTCTTTCTTTTTCTTTCTTTCTTTCTTTCTTTCTTTCTTTCTTTCTTTCTTTCTTTCTTTCTTTCTTTCTTTCTTTCTTTCTTTCTTCCTCTCTCTCTCTCTCTCTCTCTCTCTTTTAATTGTGAGAATACTGTACAGAGGAGTTACAATTACATGGGCAAGATAATGAGTACATATCTTATCAAGCATTGTTGCCTCCTCTTTGTGTCCCCTTCCCATCCCTTCCCATACTCCTCTCTTCCCCCCCACCCGATCCTCCCCCCAACCCCTTCCAAAGTTGTTTTTCAACATAACGATTTGTACATTTCATTGTTGCAATGGGTCCACCTGTATCCCTATTTAAACGATTTGTTTTTTTTTCCCCCTTCCACTCCACAAATTATACCAACATCAAAAACAGTGAAAGTATGGGTTATACTGTGGGGGAGGGACATACAAAGCAACATAGAAATCATCTTATAAATATGATAGAAACAATTGCATGAAAGGAAAAAAAACAAAAAAAACATTTGAATACTTATCTATATCACTCAGTTTTTATGTGACCGTATTTTGTTTCCTAATATATGGCAGTGTGTTTGTTTAAATGTGTTTTGATAACACACAATTTTTTTATTAACAATGAAAAGTAATTATTGCTATGCTGTCAATCCCATTAGATTGTAAATTCCTGAGGCAGACTGTCTTTCACTTCTTTTTAGAATTCTGCAGATCCTGGCATGTCAACATCCATTGCTAAGTGACTGCCTAGACTCATCTTCATCACCGGATGACACTATTACCTGGAAGGGTCTGAGGAAAACCTCAGGACTTAGAGGAACCCAGAATCTCACGATAGACTGACTACTAATTAATTTTATAATGTATGCCAAGTGATTTGGAGGTTTGGAGTCATATAAAAATCATTTTATACGCGCTAGTGCAAATAAAATTGTCATTACTAATAATAAATAAATATACACCTGAAAAGTGAATTATACAGACATTTGGCACAATTGATTTGATTTGAAAACTCTCCAGATAGAAAGAAAGTAGGTCACACAGGAACTATATAAAAGAGAACATAAGAATCTTAACTTTTTGGACAATAATAATTCTAGTTAAGTTGTCTAATATTAGTTCTATTTTTTTTTTTTTACTAAAACTTGCAGGATTAAGATAATCATCTTTTAGTAGAGTTTTCCTCTGGGTTTTTGTTTTCAATTATATTCCTGGATCTATTTTAAAATCATGCTTCTTTTTTGGTGTGTTTCTACTGTGCTTCACATTAGAAAGAATATTAGGTGACTAAAAAACTCTCTGATCTTTCATCGCACACATTCTGCTTTATAAAAACTAAAGATACATAGAAAATTCACAAAGAAGCTAGAATAACCTGGGATGTGTAATTGATGCTTTCTCTGTGAAATTGCATCTCCAATAGATAACTATGTAAGCTAAATGACATCATCATTTCATCTTAATCCACCACCAGGTGGACTGGAGCAGCAATTCCAAGAGCAATAAAATTTTAAGCCTGGTATTACTTACCTGATAATCTTTTGTCTGATTTCTCTTCCCTCCAATATCTAAACATTCCACGTTTCTGTGTCAGTTTTCTTCCTAATATATAAGCTTCAGGGAGTATGTTTGCATCCACCACTAGTCATG